GGGGAAAATGTCTGTTTTTCTCCTTTCCATCAGTATTAATAGTAAATGCTTATTAATTTGGACTCTGCACCTTAGGGATTTATTTAGATCCTTAAATTGGCTGAGGTTTAGTATTGCATTAACAATGAGAAAATGGATTGTTTAGCAACTTAATAGTGTAAATAAGATTGTAGAGGGGGGATAGTAGCTATTTAAAAAGACTTCTGTTTTCCAGCACTGAAAAACTCCTTTAGCAAACTGTTAGTATTTAATGAAAATTATTATACATGTTTGATTAGTTCCTATCTATTAAGGCAGTTTGAGGTAGAACCTCATTTTGACGCCAGGACCTTCTTTTAGCTGTGTCTTGGGAGCTCTTATAACTCTGGGGCTTTCCCAAATGATAGTTTTTTTTTTTTGTTTTTTTGTTTTTTTTTTACCTGCTGCATATTGTATTGGGTCATTAAAAATTTATGATGATTATTTGCATTGAGAAATATGTCCTGATGACCTAATAATTGTCCAATAATGGCTTTGAGTTAGTGGACCTATCATGTATGTTAGAGGGTAAAAGTGTCCTTAAGAAAGCTACTTAAAGAATCAGAGACGTAAATTTCTCATGTGTCAAATGCCCACATGATTTGAGTCTTGATCAACAGGTCTCTTTCAGGTATCAAAATCACTTCAGAAGCTTTTATAGTACATGACTGTCCTCTCTCAATCTGTTCCAAAATTCTAACATATGGACTGGGCCTGACTGATTTTTTACGTAAGCCAATTTCTGAAACAAGAGTTTGCATACAGGCAGGCTTTATCACAGGGGTAATCAATAGGGTGAGTGGTAGAGTCTACGACTTTTAAATGATTTTTTTTATGTTTTGCTGAGAGAGAGAGAGAGAGAGAGAGAGAGAGAGAGAGAGAGAGAGAAAAGAGGGAGGGAGGGAGAGGAAGGAGGAGGCAGGGGAGGGGGATTGGGAAGGAGAGAAAGTGAGAAATCATCCCTAGGGGGTATGGCCATGCCACAATTCTTTTGCCTTCCTCCTCTTGGGATTTTGGGCACTCATGCACACACAGGAGGGTGATTTTTAAGCTGCCAGGTCTGGAACTCAAACCACAGCTGGCCATGCGGGAGTCCAGTGCCTTAACCACTACTCCACCTGCTGGTGTCAAGCCCTCTTTCTATGATTGAGGGGCAAGCAGGACTTTTAAATGCAAGTCAGGAATGCGACAATGTGACAGTCTTGTCGTAGGAATCCAGGGCCTTTCCAGGACAGTTACTTTCTCATTTTTGATGAATGGTACTGTTTTCTTAGTGCTGGGCAGTCTCTAGGAGAGTCCAGAACATGATGTTATCTTCATGTCTGTTCTGGGCACAGAATTCAATACAAAGAACTCTTAGGACACCTGGATCTCTTCAATCTTTATGTTACTTTTGACTGTGTGTTGCAAAAGTTGAACAATGTTGGAATCACAAGTGGTCATTATAGGACCATTATCATAATGTGCAGGTAGTATCGACTAGTCAGGAGAGAAAAGGCTTGAACTCACCAGTAAGTGAAAAGAAAATTTCCAAGGGTTCTAGGAAATATTTCTTCCTTTCTCTTTTTAATCTGGTAAAATATTATGTATAAGACTAAACAAAGAAAATCATATATATGTATTTTTACTTCTCAGGGGCCTGGTATCACCTCTTGTGTTCAAACTATGACCTACATGATATTCACAGACCTTTTATTGTGCTCAAAACGATGGAGTAAAATATTGTATAATTCACAGTTTTCAGGAATTGGATGCTTTAAAAATATTTATTGTGCCTACTATGTGAAATCTACAATAGAAACTGCAGAAGAGCCAGAGATGAAAATATATGGTTCTTGCCCTCCCGGTGTTTAGGATCCTATAATTCTGTTGGCTTCCATTCAGTTCCAAATCAGTGTGATTTTACTGTGATCATATATAGGAGTTGGATGCTGTTTAAGCACCGTAAATTTTTGGCAGATAAACTCACTTGCTCCAAAAGAAGCAAATGAAAGACAGTGGAGCAGTGTTTTCCAAAAATGGAATTCTTTTGCCTTTCATTAGAAGCCTCTAGGACAGCTTTTAAAATGAAGTTCCCTGGGTCCACCTGACCCCTACTGAAATAGAGTCTTTGGGAGTGGATCTAGGAATCTGAATGTTAAATATGTTAAGATGATTCTTAAGGAATTCCAAGCTCGAAAACGACTCATGATAAGAAATGAGGCATAGGTCTGAGAAATGAGATCAAATGAAATCAGACAACATGAGCCCAGCAAGGGTTTTGTTTTTTTACGTAAGTGTGCATTTGTTTAAAATTAAATGGGGAGAAATAATAGAAATCCTATTTTTTTTAAATCCCTTATCTCATCTCCTTTGGGAGAAGTTGCAATGCTTGAAGATACATTTTCATTAATGGAAATCCTCATAGATGATTTTATTTTTTGAGGGGGAAGAATAAGGCTGACTGAGCTATTTTGTAGTTTTATACTTTAAAAACTCCTCTTTCCAGTTTTGTAGAAAACTACGTGCTTAGCAAATGCTGTTCTTATCGACGAAAGTCCAGTCACTAAGTTGTTCATATAGCAATTCGGTGCAGAATTTTCCGGTTCTTGTTTTGGAAAGGTACTGGGATCTGTACAGAAGCGTGCTGTCACACATACCCTTAGATTTTTTGGGTCGTAGATGGCATTTGTAGTGTATTGCCACCTTTGTTTTATGTCCGACAGTGAATTATATCCATTTAACTCTATTAATATTCCCATCTTGATTCGTTTGTCAAGGACAAGTTTTCATGCCAGGATGTGGGCTCACCCCATGACCTTTCCTTAGAAAAAATTTTGAGTGCTTTGGGTTTTGCGTTAATGAGCACTGGGAAGCTGTCAGCTCTTATTTCTGTTTTTGTTCAAGTCAACATCATTGACCTTCACCTAATGATCTGTGGAGCACACAGAGATTAAAAGTGGAAAGAGAGCAGTGAGGAGGGGTACAGAGAGTGGAAAAGCATGGGGAGGGAGTTTGTAATTTATAACGTAACTAAAATTGCTAGTCACTTAAAAAAAAAAAGGAAAGGGAAAACTGCTGTGTGCTATACTGTGTTGTGAGAGGATAGTTTGGAAAATTAATATCCCGACTAATGTGCTTCAGGTTTCTGAGTGCCCTTTCCATAGGTGATAAAATAAGAGTAATTTAGGGGCTTCTGATGAATAGAAAATAGCTGGACCTTATCCCTTACTGGTTTGTGGACCTTCACACTTTTGCCTCACCTAGACTGATCAACTACGCAGTTTGCCTGGGAATCTCTCAGTTTTAACATGAAATTCCCCATGTCTTGGGAAATGCCTAGATCCTTGGCAAAGCTGAATAGTTGGTTACTCTAAATTCATCCATATTCATCCTCATCAGACATTTTCTAAAATGATGCTCAGTTTTCTATGGTGTTCTTAGATCGAAATCTATATTTTTTTTCTGTCCAGATTAATTTTTTTTAAACTTGAAAGATAATGAAAGCACAGAAATAAAACACGGGACAGTTGTAGTTCAGATATCTGTTTAATTGACTCAGAACCTGAATGCTGGGAGCATCTTTAGCTATATTATATATCCTGAGCTGCTTTTCTGGATGAAACAACTGAGGCTCTGTGAAGGTGTCGGTGTTATTGCCTAAATTTACTTAGCAAGCTACGGATGGATTCAGAACTTGAACCCAGGTCCCCCTAACTTCTAATCCTTTTCTTTTCCAAAGTTGCCACATCTGTCTGAAAGGTGTTGTAGACGCTTGAAGGAGTTAATTTGCTTTGAACAAATGAGCAGCTCCAACCCAGAGAGAAGCTAAATCACTTAGATGGAGCTTCATTAATTACTCCCTGGTATTCCCCTGCAAGAGCTTATGAATTAATATTGAGGAGCAGTGGCAGGAACTTACTTCCCACGGTGAGGCTGTCTTCTCTCATGATCACAGATACCGCTCATCCTTGAAGAGGAAGAGTTAATAAATGAATATAATTCTGTGGAAGAAGTGCTATGATCTTGTTATTCCTATTAATATTTCCAATTAATATTTTAGCTTGAAATAATAAGCAGAAAACAGCATTTGTTGATTACCTTCTGTTTAGAAGACGAGCACATAAATGTTAAATGTTACTCCCTGTGGAAGACTTGCAGCACTATCTTAAGCCTATATTTTATTTATGGATTAAGCTCAATATTCTGAACCAGCTTCCACATCTTCCATCTGTTCTGTAATATCTCTTCCATCAAATCAGAAAAAAACAAAAACAAACTCAAAATGAAAACACACACTCACACACAAGCAAATGTGAAACCGGAATCTTGAAATTCAACTTGAAAATTCCAAAACCCGAGTCAAGGTTTTCATTGAGGGCTGGTAGTCTTGATGACTTTCTTAAATTCAGGCTATTTTCCCAGGATGAACTATAGACCTTTTACTCTGATGTAAGCAAGTTTTTGGACTACTAGAAAGACTCATGTTTCTTGCTCATTAATTGAGGAGTAAAGACCGTTAAGAAATTTTCCCATGTCTAAATTCATTTCTTTGACTAAATGAATCCATAGAAACATTTTCGTCTAATATGTTTCTATTATCACTTTCTGCCTTTTTATTTTTTTTTTAAATCTGTAAATCGCAGTATTTCGTATTCCAGGTTGATTAGGGCATTGAAAGGATTTTTAGCGTGTCAGTGCACTTTTAGTTTGATAGTTTAAGAACATTGCTACTGAGGGAGTCTTAGCACATCTCAGTGTTAAGATGTAATTGGCATCAACAAATGCCAACTAATTGTAGCTTTCTCAAGATGAATATATGCTTTACGATTTATAAATCATGATGATTTGGAGGAGTTCAGTATGGATTAAGGCCAACTAAATTTTTGAATGATTCAGTCTTATTAAAAAATAATCTGACTTGCAGAGAGTACATAACTGCTCAGATGCCATTTGAATTGTGACTGTCACCTTGATTATCATCTGTCTCTTGTATTATCAAGGGAATCATCCAAGATGGGAAGATCATCTTTATGCCGAATGGATACATAACACAGTGTCCGAACCTAAATCGCAGTAAGTAGCAACTAATATCATATGAGAAGTTTAAATATGAACTGATTGGGACGATCAGAAAAATGGATCTGGAAGGATACTCACAAACTTTATAGTCCTGACTTCTTAGGATTATATGAAAGAAAATTTAGTATCTAAATTATATGTTGAGTCATTTTTGCATAGAAAAACAGAAAAATACTTGATGACTTTTCTGATGACCTAATACTTCTACACATGAACTTTTAAAAAAGTTGTGTAAAATAAAGTTAAAATGTGAAGGTGAGAAAAGAGTTACATTAACAATTCTGTAACAGGTTGATATGGAGAAACATATTTAATATAATCGCATACATTTTACAAATCTATTTAAACTTCTTGACTTGGCCATGAGTTTAGCTTTTCTTTTTCTATGATGCTTCATATTTTTTCAGCTTTTCTTAATAAAAATGAGGGTGTAATTTTCATTTAGAAATGTCATGTTGTCTTTCTTTTCAGTTAATAAACCATTTATCCTGTTTCTTTCTTTATATTTATTGAAACAAGAAAAAGATTGAGATGAGAAATCCTGTGATGCCACGCAAATTTCAAATTGATACTTACCCAAAAGAGCAAAAACTCATCTGCTTAGTCAAACAAATACTGTTTTAAAATTTTCTTTCTTGGGATTAGCAGGTGGCATGAAGGTTAGGGTGTTAGATCCCTACA